AAAAATTTCCTTACTGCCCACCAGTTTTCACGCAATGCAGAATATTTTTTCGAAAGGAGGGTGTTTAAAAAAAAAAATAAATGTACGTACATTTATCTTTTTATTTCTACTTAATGCATGTTTATAATGTTTTTAATTTTATAAAGTTTAATGAGAAAACAATAAAGTAAATTGAAATTACCTTTACTAGTGATTAATGAGATCCTTGAGGTTGATGCTGCGAGACTAAATATTTGATATCTGGTTCGATTTTCGTAAGGAACAAACTAAGGTCTCCTCTTTCGGTGATATTCAGACGACTTCTCTGTTTGTGCATAATATGATTTCTCATCTGTGCATCAGCTCCCCTCCCCACCTTTTTTTCCCCTTTAAATTTTTTTTTTTAACCTTCCTTATAGCAATGCCCAGTAGGAAGGCTGAGCTAGGTATCCCACTTACTATTACTTACTATAGCCCACTATAACAGACAGGCACACATACATACAGACACACACACAAGACAAACATACATACACACATACATACAGACACACAGACAGGCACACATACAGACACACACATAAAACATACATACAAAGACGCATGCATACAAAGACAAGACACACATACATACACACACACACACACACACACAAGACATACAAATACACATACACACACAACATACATACAAAGACAAGACACACATACATACACACATAAATACAGACAGACACACATACATACAGACAGAAACACACAAGACATACATACAAAGACACATACACAAACAAACACACACAAAATATTTTAGTCACCCTCCTGTTTCCTACATTTTAGGTGCAGGAGGGTGACTTTCCCTAGGGTCCAGTGGTGGCTCAGGTGGATGGGAGTCAGAGTTCCCATTCTGACTCTCTCCTCCTTCCTCCCGCGCGGTCTGTGTGTTAGCTGGGAGGAGTGACGTGCAGTCACTTCCTCCCAGCTCTGTGATGTAATCACAGGGGGCCCGGTCGCGCTGTTAAAGCGCCCAGCGCTGACCGGGCCCCCTTACAATCCACATCGGTTTGCCCCGCGGGCCGGGGCTGCAAGTGGTGATGGCAGTACCCGGTCGCAGGGGTACAGCCAGCTCGCACCCGCCCAAATTTCTCAAAATTAAAAAATCCCTACCGTCCACCTGGAATCCTGAAACGCCCACTAGTGGCGGTAGGGACTAGGTTGACGACCCATGCTTTTGAGGCTTTAAAATACTATAGTGATAATAAAAGGACATTAATTGGCAGTAAGGAACAAATTTTGTTAAAAGTAGAGGTGTGCGGGCAGGATTCTGTCTTTTTCCCCTTCTTCTAAGAAGACACTATCCCTACATACACCTTTTCTAAGAAAACCCTACCTAGTAATGCCCCCTAGAATATCGGCCGATAATATCGGCCAGACCGAAAATCAGTCGATCCCTAATTAATAGTTGTCTATATTTGATTGGTGATTAATGATACTCCCCCTACACTCCCCTTTATTGCGTTATAATAAACTTTTGTTCTCTTTAATAAAGAGCGGACAATATCTCTTGAGTCTCTCCAAATACTTGAAGGGCATGGCTCTGGATAGAACAGTAAGACCATGGCAGGCAATTCAGGTGATTACCAAGGACAGGACAGATGTTCCAACAGGCATTATTGTATTTATGTGTTCTGAGCCAGTCCAATAAATGGCTTTATAGCCAATGATATTTACTACATAATTGGGGGTCAGTACAGGTTACTGAAAACAAGTTTCTTGTTAGAGCATCTATTAGACTCTATTAATATTCTAGCTGCAAAATGTTGTAACCTTTTTTGGATATTAAACACAATCATATTACAGTAATCAAACCATGAAAAATATTTCAGGAAGATGCAAGGTGCAGGATATCCGCTCAATGTACATCCGGAGACCTCAATTTTGGAAATTATTGCACAACCATGCTACTACTGTTGTATCATTATTGAAGTCCTTATAGCTGTTATTTCTTCCACTTGGAGAAGACATATCACTTTCCCTATTGAGGTGACCGGAGAGTCTGTCCAATGTGGTGCTGATCGTAATTGTCACTATCCCTTTATTTTTGTACTGTCATCCTCTGGATATTTCCTTTGGCTTTGGGAATTTTAGACTATTGTTTCTGGATTCTGTGTATTGGAACTCCATAGGGATTTTAATTGTGAATGTGTGCATATCCTTAGCAGTTGTGACAGCGAATCGTTTTATGGTGTGTTGTGTTCTGTATCTGATGGTTTTTGTATTGTTTTTATTTTGTCTTTTACAGTGTAATTACGCTGCTATAGTCATTTATTTTTCTTGTCTAATACATCTAAAAGTTCAGTCCACTGCGTGTATGTATGTATGTATGTATGTGTGTGTATATATATATATATATATATATATATATATATATATATATATATATATACACACACACACACACACACACACACACACACACACACACACACACACACACATTTTTATAATTATTCATTTATTAGTGTGTAGAAGCAGTGGTAATGCGATGCCCACCCTGGGGGATAGGCATGCAGCCCTACATTTATCTCACACTATTTATACTGCTGTGTAACAGTTTTATTCTCTTTCATGCATTTGATACGGTCACGTATGTGGGGTTGCAATTGGGTGCCCACCCTGGGGAATAGGCAACCCGCTTATATACCCACTGTGACCAGTACTCATCCAGGGTTAACACAACATGGGTGTTATGGGTTGTCCCTGTTGTTTGGGTGTGTATTTATGGAACAGATATATTTGTCCTCCTATTTTGAATATACTCAAACTTGGTTAGGTAGTATTGATAGATGTTGTCCTTGGTTGGTGATAAACGTCTCTTAAGCTATGTTCCTTATAAAGTTAAAGAGACTCCAGGAATTGTAGACTATAGAGACGTGGACTTTAAGCCTCTGTGTTATTTTTTGATTTTGATGATAAATACTTTTTTGACGGGGGTACCCATGTAGCCTTTTAGAGGTTCAGCTACCTATAGATCTCTTTGCAAGATTATGGGTTATTTTTTGCCAGCTTTTTATTATGTTAGAATAGTATTAATGAGGCTTATGTATGATTTTTTTTCCAGCTATACATTTGGCTTTAACAGGATATATAAAACTAATTAATATCTAGGATGTATAATATCATGATTATTGCCCGATATACATTAGTCCCCTATTATTCGGTTCTATGGTTCAGAACAAGTTATTGTTCTAATATTAGACTGGCCCGTTAATGTTTTGGTTTTTCAGTAAACATTATAAGGGTGCCTTAACAATCTTGAGGTTTGGTTATATTAGGTTAGCCTTTTTAGGCTGAGTACCTTTATGGAGGTCATTAGTTTTGTGTTTATTTTTGAGTGTTTATATACTTTTTTTCTACTTTTATTTTTGTAATTTTTATTATTCTTGTTCTTTTTTTATTTCTTTATATTTATTTTTATTAATTTTTTCCTTATTTATTATTTTTTATTTAATTTTTATTATTTTCTATTTATTATTTTTTATCATTTTCAATAGTGTACTATTTAGTTATATTTATTTTTATTTATTGTTTTATTTTTCTTGTTTTTTATTTCATTTCATTTCTTTTTCATTCATCAGTTTATTTTCAAAGTTTGTGGTTTCCCAACTTTAAAATACCAGTCTGCCATTTCTGTTCAAGTATTTATATACAATTAAGGTGCTTTGTAACATTCACCTGTTGCTAGATGATTTGGCAACACTGTTTTTATTTCACACGCTGTATGATATGCACGATGTGTAATTGTATATTGGTATCCATGGTGATGACCCTTGGCCGCGTCATTGAGCGCGACGCCACGTGGCTGCAGAGGTTCATCGGGCAGCCCGCAGCAGTCCCGGTCCGAGCGTCCATGAAGTCAGATGCACCTCAGGTGGGGTGAGTGGATGTCATTACTTATGCTATATATGTGGGGTTTGTTTGTATTTTCAGTATGTCCTGACGAAAGCTTGAGGGGATCAAGCTAAAACGTTGACTGTATTGTTTTAGTGGAGGTAATAAGTTATATTTTACTTATAGTCCTTGGAGTGCTATCACTGACAACTATTTTGTATTTTTGGCTGACAAGCACCGGGCACTTAATTTGGAATTGGTGGAGTGCAAGATTTATTGGATTTCTTTTTTTTTTTTTTTTATATTGTAACAAACCACCTCTTTTTCAGGTAGGATTGTCACCGATCTTGCAGTAACCACAGCCTTCTAGGGTATACAAAGTCCAGGACACCTTCAGCTCAGTTTTCCTTTTTATTCAATAAGAAAACAGGTACTTTAAATAATAACAAAAACAAACAAAATCCCTTGCTCTTACTTGAGCTCTTACTAGACATGAATTACTATCTGCAATTGGGTGGCTTTCCCACTTACCAATTTTCCAAACAAAAGAAATGGCTTTGCAATAAACACACTTGTCTTTCACTCTCCTAGCTGTCTTTTCCTCCCTCACTCTGCAGCAGGCTGCCCTCTTCTTTTAAAGGCCTGTCTACTAATTGACTGGCTACAGGTGAGTGCCAATTAATTAACTCGTAAGTCAGATCCAAATAGTGGTCTGTTACACAGCAACTAATGCTGTTGGAGCATTGGCCCACCCTGCTCTCCAAATACTCCGACCCAGGGACCCATACCATGTTTTGCAGAACCTTAGCAATGTAGATTGCAAACTCTAACATCTCTCCCTGGGGCATTTAACTGAAAAATCCTCTGGTTGCTGTTTAGCAAATCAGGCCTGATGTATCTCCCATCAACCACTATTCCACCTTTACGCTCACATATCCTCCCCCCCAGCTCATACCCATGGGTTTGAGCGACCGTGGATATCAGAGAGTGTACCCTGGAAAGGCCATCAGCATTACCTTGTTGCAGACCAGCCCTGTGTTCCACAGTGAAATTATAAGATTGCAAACTCAAAAACCATCTGGTTACTCTGGAGTTACTTTCCCTGTTCTGATACATCCATGTCAGAGGTGCATGGTTCGTTATCAATCGGAACTTTCTGCCTAGTAGGTAGTATTTAAAAGAGTCTAATGCCCACTTAATAGCAAGACACTCTTTTTCAACAATAGAGTAGTTCTTCTCATGTGGGTTTAACTTCCTGCTCAAAAAGAAAACAGGGTGTTCTTCACCCTGGTATTCCTGTGAAAGAACAGCCCCCAAGCCTACATCAGAAGGGCTGTCTGAACTATAAAATCCCTGGAAAAATCTGGGGTCACCAAGACAGGATGGCTACAGATAGCTTCCTTCAGACTCTTAAAAGCCTTTTCTGCCTCAGGGCACCATTTAACTACAACTGGGGATTTTGCTTTAATAAGGTCTGTTAGAGGTGCAGCAATGGTAGCAAAATCTGGGATGAACCGCCTATAATATCCAATTAAACCCAAAAATGCCTTTACTTGTTTCTTTGTAAGGGGCTGTGGCCATTTTTGTATGGCTTCTACTTTGGCTTCCTGTGGTTTAACCAAACCCCTCCCAATAGAATAACCTAAGTACTTTGCTTCCTCTAAACCAATCGTACACTTGGAAGGATTGGCAGTTAAGCCCGCTGAGCGGATAGCATCAAGCACCGCTTGAACTTTAGGGAGGTGGGATTCCCAGTCTGCACTGTGGATGACGACATAATCCAAGTATGCTGCAGCATAACGAACATGAGGTTTAAGAATTCTGTCCATCATTCGTTGGAATGTGGCAGGTGCCCCATGTAACCCAAATGGCAATACAGTGTACTGAAACAGGCCACTGGGTGTTGAAAAGGCTGTCTTTTCTTTGGCTCTTTCAGTGAGAGGTACCTGCCAGTAACCCTTTGTTAAATCCAAGGTTGTTAGATAACGAGCTTTACCCAGTCTTTCCATTAACTCATCAACTCTGGGCATTGGGTAAGCATCAAATTTTGAGATAGCATTTAACTTGCGGTAGTCATTACAGAACCTCCATGTGCCATCAGGTTTTGGCACCAATACAATAGGACTACTCCAGTTACTCTGGGATTCTTCAATGACTCCAAGTTTTAACATGCTCTCAACCTCTAAGTTTATAACCTCCCTCCGGGCCTCAGGAATTCTATAGGGTTTGAGATTAACTTTTCCCTGGTTCGGTTATTATGTCATGTTTAATCACCTTAGTCTTTCCTGGAACTACCGAGAAAACATCCCTATTTCTTCTGATGAAGTCTCTGACCTCTTGCTTTTGATGTACAGACAGAGTCTCAGATACGTTCACCTCTGGCTCTACTATAGGAGGTTCTGAAGTTTTTAAAGCAACCAGGACCTCCCTGTCCTTCCATGGCTTTAACAGATTTATATGATACAACTGTTCAGGCTTTCTTCTTCCTGGTTGTCTGACTTTATAATTGACATCACTCACTTTCTCTATTATTTCATAGGGTCCATGCCAAGTCGCAAGGAACTTATTCTCCACCATATGTAACAAACCTTCTAAGGACACTCTCTCTAGTTTTTCGACTCCCAAGTGTCCCCCTAATATGTGGCTGTGAGCCAACTTTAGTACTATATTTTGGTAAGTCTGAGGAACCAACAGCTGCTTAATGATATCTGAATCCCTTTTTTCTACACGGTAAATTAGGTCATTTTGTACTTCAAAATAGGGGAACGGTAGGGCTTCTCCTGGTTGATTAGCAACCCCATTTACAACTTTAATATCATTTCTAGCTGTCTTCCCACTGAGCACTTTTAAAATTACCTGGACTGATTCCAATATCAATTAAGTCCTTATCCTTGTCTGCAGTATTAGTAGGCTCTTCACTAGTTTGAGCTGGGTTATCTCCTATTAATACTGGTTTAGGGCAGTATTTTCTCCTTTTTCCGTCACAGTGGTCAAAACCCAAGTCAATATCGGAAAAAGGAAACACATTATCCTCGGCCGATTGACTAATTTCTGATAAAGTTTGGTCCCTCTTTTGTACAGCTGCCCATAATTCTAGAAAGTGAGGAAAGTCTCTACCGATCACTACCTCATGGGCTAATCTAGGTACTACACCCACTCGGTACTTTAAATCTCCATACTGGGTTCCAATATTTACTTCCGCAGTGGGGTATTCCTTTTTATCACCATGAACACAGATAATGCCTATTTTCTGTACATGATCAGGTTTTACACAAGGTATTACAGACTCTGCTACCAACGTAACCATACTACCCGAATCAAGTAATGCTTTAGACATTTTACCATTCACAGTTACACAGCATTTATGAGGGTTATTATCATAGTCATTGTTAACAGTACCATAACAGTTGAGCAAAAATGAACGTGCTCCCTCATCTTTGCCCATATTGCATTCCATAGGTTCATCCTTCAATGGACAGTCTTTGGCCATATGACCATCCTCTTTGCACTTGAAACATTTGACAGTACAATCTGACCACCAATTAGTTCCTTTCCCAGGCCTATTAGACCTGGATGCCCC